AAAAAAAAAACTGCTAACGCCTATTTTAAGGTTAACCCCCTACATCTGAACCACACTCCCCAGTTGTGCTCTGTTTCTATTTCTCATTGATCTGGCCCTGCCTACCAGTTTCTAATGCCTTCCTGAATTTACTTCTCCATGCAAATTGTAGACCACTGCCAAATAGTCAGGCTTTCTGTCACCAAAGGCCCCAAAGCAGAGTATCAAGTACAGTACTTGATCTCTGGAGGCAGCCCAGCTTCTAAGCAGGTGTCCTCAAACTATGGCCTGTGGGCTTCATGCAGCCTGCCTAGGACATTTATCCGGCCAGCCAGGTGTTTTTGCTGCCACTTAACAGCTGACTCATCCCGGGGCTCATAGTCCAGCCCTCCAACAGTCTGAGGGACAGTGAACTGGCCCCCTGTTTAAAAAGTTTGAGGACCCCTGTAAAGGAAAAGGGTAAGAGAATAGGCCAGTTTCTTCTAACAAACATGAGCCAGAAAACCAGGAGTGTTGGCCAGGCATGGTGGCTCACACTTGTATCCCTAGCACTCTGGGAGGCTGGGTAGGTGGATTGCCTGAACTCAGGAATTCAAGACCAGCCTGAGCATAAGTGAGATCCCATTTCTACAAAATATAGAAAAATTACCCAGATATGGTGGTGCACAGCTATAGCTCTTGCTACTCAGGAGGTTGAAGCAGGAGAATTGTTTGAGCCCAAGAATTTGAGGTTGCTGTAAACTATGATGCCACCACGCTCCACCAAGGGCAACAAAGTGAAACTCTATCTCAGAAAAGAAAAAGAAAAGAAAAGAAAACCGGGAAACTAAATGTGTTTCCTGCATGTAAAGGCAAGTTAGGAATGTCTAACCCCTTTCTCTCATAATTATTATTATATATATATTAGTAAAACTTTATTATTTTGCCAATAGCTAATAAAAAACTGATTTGTGAAATAATTTAAAAGAAAATATTGCTATTTTTATGCTCATGAATACAAAAATATTGTTTGATAAATTAGGGGATTTCTTTAATAAGTAGATCAAGCTACCAAGTATGTATACACATCAATGTTTATTTAAAAAAATGTTTTCCACTCAAAATATTCTCTATGGACAAATAATTAACAGTGCACGAATTTTTTTCTTTATTGTTGAAAAAAATGAAGCTTACAAGTGATAAATTGCCCTCCTTTACATAGATGACTTTTTACCATATTCTTAAAAGTAGAACTGCCAGCTCTGTAGAGATCTGAGGGATAACCAGGTCCTGGTGTCAATGTTGTAACAGAGAACTGAGTGAAACTGCAGTACAGACAGTTATCCTTAAGGAGGCACCCTTGTGGTGATCTCTTCTTGCTGGTGGGACCCCCTCTTCAGTATATGAACACCCACTGCATGTTGGACAGATACTGTCCTCTCCACTCTCTAGGTCTCTTGTGGCCTAGCACTGGGTACCATCCTTTAAGCCCCCTGTCTTGTTCCTTCTCTCAGCTAACTGATGAGAAGAATCTTAACTAATTCATGATGAAGAACTAACTGCCATGTTTGGAATAGATTAATCTAGGACTCAGTACCAGACTTTTTCCATCTCACATGTAAATACGCCTTTACCCGAAAGAAGGCATTTACACCTGTATCCAATCAGAGATTATTTTTCTTACAATACCTTTCTGGTTTTCCTCAACCCATCCAAAAGCATAGCCACCTCCCATCTCTTGAGAGACTGGACTTACCAAGAGAAACTGCTTATCAAGGCTGCACTGTGCTTTCCAGCTACTAAGGGCAATGCAGATTCATGATGATGTGCTCTGTGACATTTATATTGAGCTGGTCCATTTATCCTCGTCTCTGTTTAGCCCATAGATGTGAGAAATGCATTGTAAAATTTGGAGACTAATTAATTCGTATGATTTTCAACCCGACTTATAATGATACCAGAATATTTCAAATTGTATTCCTTATGCCCAAATTGGTGATAATTGTGCTAGACCCTAAGATGCGACTGATTTATTGACACCTTATCCTGAAATGTTTAAAATGAAGACTGCCTGATGTTTTTCCTTCTTTGAACTAGGAGCTGAAGCGAATTTTATGCTGAAAATTCATCCTCTGAAGAAATATCCTGTGGATCTGTATTATTTGGTGGATGTCTCAGCATCAATGCACAATAATATAGAAAAATTAAATTCTGTTGGAAATGATTTATCTAGAAAAATGGCATTTTTCTCCCGTGACTTCCGCCTTGGATTTGGCTCCTATGTTGATAAAACAGTTTCCCCATACATCAGCATTCACCCTGAAAGGATTCATAATCAATGCAGGTATCTAATGTTTGATGTGGATGATGCTGAACGCATTTTTGTCTCATAAAATCTCACTTTGTCCGTATATAAAGAACTTACCAAACTTTATCTTTTTGTCTTATGCAGTAAGAATTAAAAATATTTATGGGGCAGCACCCATAGCTCAATGGGTAGGGCACCAGGCATATACAGCAAGGCTGGCGAGTTCGAACTCCACCTGGGCCAGTTAAACAGTAATGACAACTGCAACAAAAAAATAGCCAGGCATTGTGGCCGGCGCCTGTAGTCCCAGCTACTCGGGAGGCAAGAGGATCACTGAAGCCCAAGATTTGAGGTTGCTGTGAGCTGTGATGCTACAGCACTCTACTGAGGGCCACATAGTGAGACTGTCTCAAAAAAAAAAAAAATGTGGAGGAGGTGTGTTCCCATCTGAAAACTTCTGAGGTTATTTGTAAATTAGGCTTTTTATTTTATGTTCATTAAAATACCATTCATTCAGTTTTTATCACCAAACAACCCCTTCATAATGTTAGTAACTTTGGATATACCTACCATAATTAGGCTGCTGTGTATATTAATACCCCTTTGGAAAATCTGTATTTTTCCTTTTTGATGGCTCCAAATTTGTTGAACTAAAGTTTGACCACATATTAAAGTATTTACTTTGCCAATACAGCCTCTCTCTCTCCATTACTGTGTAGTGACTGTGTATAAATACATTGCTTATGATGGACTGCAAAGAAATCTCAACCCTCATATGGAGAGTGGGATAAAAATTTGACTGCTTAGGAAGAGCCTTTTAAAAAATCAGTTTGGAATCCTGATCCTAAGTAGCACATGCCCAACCATGAATGAACTAAGGATAAAAATACAAGTTTCTCACACAATATTGTCATTAGCCTGCTGAATTTTCAGAGACATAAATCTATCTAGTTCTTTTCTCATAAGACGGTTTATTTTTAACATCTTTTCCACTTTCACAAATTGTTCAGATTGCCTTCTGATGCATATTCCAATTCATTGAAATACCTCTATTATCTGCTCTACCAGAACAGCACTGATTATCTCCTGAGGAAGTCTCATGAGTCTGCCTCTTGAGCACCTGAGGGATGATTCTTACTTGTTGGAATATAATGGAATTCCCAGAATAATTTTAATGAATTTTGATTGTTTATCAAAATTCTATACCAAGCATCATTTAAAAAATTTGTAAGATGTTTTTAGAAAGAAATCAAACGATAACACGATATTTCAACTAAATTCTTCTAAAATATCCTCCCACCCCCAAAGAGTTTCTTAGTTATCCCAGGGTCATCTGTGATGAGAAATCACTCCAAATTCTTATAATTCCCTCAAAAACTTACGATATTACAATAAACTTACAATATTAGTATATTGAAAGCCTGTAGTTATCCCGTGTTAAAGAAACATGTTTAGTCTTCATTTATTGAACACTAAACTCTTTTTGTTCTGTTTTTACTTGCAGGAAAATAGTCACCAATACTGAACTTCTCTCTAATTTTATAAGTACAGGTTCTTGTCTTATAAAACTTCCCCCTTTTCACACAACTACACAATTGTACTTTAGTATCGTTCTGAACTTTTAAGGAAGTGCAGCAAAATAGACTTTGCATGTCTTCTTTTCTCATGTAGTGATTACAATTTAGACTGCATGCCTCCCCACGGGTACATTCACGTGCTGTCTTTGACGGAGAACATCACAGAGTTTGAGAAAGCAGTTCACAGACAGAAGATCTCTGGAAACATAGACACACCAGAAGGAGGCTTCGATGCCATGCTTCAGGCGGCCGTCTGTGAGGTAAGAGGTTTCACGGTATGGCGTATTTGGTCAGATCTTTTATTTCCTTTTTCATTTAAAAGTCAAAATATACTATGCAGCCCTAAAGAAGGATGGAGACTTTTCCTCCTACATGTTTACATGGATGGAGCTGGAAAATATTCTTCTCAGCAAAGTATCTCAAGAATGAATGAAAAAGTATCCAATGTACTCAGCCCTACTATGAAACTAATTTATAGCTTTCATAGGAAAGGTATAACCCAATTATAGCCCAAGAATACAGGAGAAGGGGAGAGGAAGGGGAAGGAAGGATGATTGGTGGGATCACGTCTATGGTTCATCTTTTAAGGGTACATGTGAATCTTTCTAAATGAAGAATATAAATGTCTTAAAACAATAACTAAGAAAATGACATGAAGACTATGTTAACCAGTTTGATGAAAATACTTCAAATTGTATAGCACACTATACCCCATGACAGTATCAATGTACACAGCTATGATCTAATAAAAAATAAATAAATAAAAGTCAAAACATACTAGAGATGAATACAGTCTTCTCCTATCTCATACTCTTAACCAAGGTTATTTTTTCTTCATTTGGTATGTGTTTGGGACAGAGGAGCTAATTTGGGAAAGGGATATAAATAGGAAAAGATAAAAAGGAAAGAATAACTTACTCACATGGAAATTCTTTCCAAAAGCCTTTCTTTCTTAATCTGCTTTTTTGATGCACCACACTCCAAGGAAGAGAGTAGACTGCCACCTACTCACATTAGCTTGTCCTACTTTGTTGGCTTAATCTTCCTCTAGTGGAATACTAAGAAGACTCTGGCCAGGGACTTGTGTGCCCAAATGACTCTGGGAAAGTAGAAGATGTGCACGTGAAAGGGAATTCAGCATCGTACTTATGCACATTATTCTAGCCTGCCATATGTTCACCAACTCGAATGTAATGTTTACTTGAGGTAGAGACCACAAGACAGATCTATGTTATTGTACAAAGGCTAATTACATGTTTATTTTAAGAGTCATATTGGATGGAGAAAGGAAGCCAAAAGATTGCTGCTGGTGATGACAGACCAGACATCTCATCTTGCTCTTGATAGCAAATTGGCAGGCATAGTGGTGCCCAATGACGGAAACTGCCATCTGAAGAACAACGTCTACGTCAAGTCCACGACCATGGTAATGGAGCAATAGCCCTTTTGTAGCTACCACTCTTTAAAGCACGAGTTTGAATTGGTAGTTCAGTTGTTCTAGTACCCAGAAATTGCCTTAAAAATGCAAGATACAGAACCAGGATAGGCCATGAAAGAGAATTTGTGGAGCAATGCAATCTATAAATGCTGATCTTTAAAATATTTGGCTAAGATACTTTGACAACCTTTAGTGGCTTACTCTCTGATGAGCCACAGAGCACTGCATGATTTTTGAAAACAAAAATGTTATGAAAGCTGATTTCAATGCAATTGATGCAATTCAAGGACCCTGAATGGAGACAAAATTATACCTTTGCTTTGTCCCAATAAACATACTAAGTAAGGCACTGCTGTAAGTAAGTTGTATTTGGCCTGAAAACACCTTACTCTACAATAGGTAGAAACTGCAGAGACTGGGGAGCGCAGAGTGAAACCAAGTAAAGTCTCTCTACTTTGTGGTTTCCTCTGGGACTTGTCTGTGTTTAGAGCCTCTTTTTAGGTATCTGGGTTGTTGCTTGAAGTTTCAGTTCATGTAAGGTCTAAATCATAGATTTAAATACAATCTTCTAGAACCACATCTTCACCAGCATTAGATGCGAAAAATCAACAGCACAAAGCATCATTTATTTCTGATGTTGACACCTGCTTATACATTCTTCCAAGTGTCAAAACAGAAGGTCTCAAACCTTCTCAGTTCATGGGACCCTTGTGTCTCACTGTTTTTTGTTTTTTGTTTTTTTTCCCACGGTGCCTCTAGGCCAAAAGAAATACCTAACAGAGTTCTGTTTTTTAAGTAATTAGATGCAAATAGCTTACCTACTTATGTCATAACAATCTAGTAGCCAGTTGAAAAAGTAATACCAATAAATCAGATATGCAGAGATATATTTGTCAGTTTTAGTAAGTAACTTATTAATGGAAACTCCCCAAACTTTGTAATCAGATTGGCTACGGCTACCCTCTTTTCCTGTTCCACACTGATTTTTAGGTTGACTAACTTGGCAAAGATGTGATGCCACTTAAAGAAATAGAGCCAACTGCAATCTTAAAACTATGAATTACTTTAAACTAGTAGTTCTTGAGTGCCTGATGTACGTTGAGTATCACTGTGTGGTCCTTGAAAATATGAACTCTTTTGTGCCACCCTTGGGGGTATCCAAAGTACCTCGCACACAGTTTGGGACCCATAGGGTGAGAAGCATATAAATTATGCTAAAATCTGTGTCATTCCCATATGCAAATTTTAAATAGACCTTCATTTAATGTGGAGCACTGATCCAGATTTGCCAAAAGTCTGGAGGGACAGTTGTACCCATGTTATCCCATGAAACAAGGCCAACCCTTGATTAGTTCAGTTTTCTGAAAGTAGTCTCAAAATGTAAATGAAGGTAACTAAAGTTTGAATGTAAAAGTTTAAGACTTAGAGTCAGACCCATTGTGTTTTCTCCTTCACTAATTCTTTTCTACTCAGACTCATCACGCTGGTGGACCCACCTACTTAGTCACATCTTATCTATTCTTTCTTCAATTTGGTCTCTTTTGGTTAGACAGAGACTGCTAATTTATTTATTGTGGAGTGGAGGAGGAAATATTCTATTGTAAGACAAAGAGAAGCTTTTTATTTTTTTAGGAAGGAATAACAATGACATTATTCTCAAATTGTGTTATTCTTTTGAAGTTCTGCCAAGTTGCTGAAATCATCTCTCCACAATGGTATGTGAAAGGATGCTGTTGCTCATCTAGGGAGGATTCCAGAGCAGAGACGCTATCATAATTGTAGATATATACCATGTCATAAAGCTTCACAGAAATAAAATTCAATTCTAGTGGAATGTAGATAGCCCTTAGGTTCTTAGGATACCAAGACATTGAACAATACATCTAGAACTTCTTTCACCTTCTTGCTCATTGTTCCATTTATTTAAAGGAATGACCCTTCCACGTTTCACTGGTGTGGTGTATTGGTTAGTATCTGAGAAGAATATTTTTATTTCAGTTACCTTAGGTCACTTTTTTTTTTTGAGACAGAGTCTCAAGCTGTCACCCTGGGTAGAGTACCTTGGCGTCATAGCTCACAGCAACCTCAAACTCTGGGGCTTAAGCAATTCTCTTGCCTCAGCCTCCCAAGTAGCTGGGAATACAGGTGCCCACCACCATGCCAGGCTATTTTTTGGTTTCAGTTATTGTTGTTTGGCAGGCCTGGGCTTGATTTGAACCCGCCGGCCATAGGTCAATGTTTCAAGTCATCCTCTTCCTAAGAATTTTCATTCCCTTCATTTCTAGGGACACTGCCCTCAAACAAAAGAAGTGGAAAGCATTTGAATGATCACCTAGCCATGCATTTATGTATACAAGATGTGCTTTTGCTGTGAAACCTTTTGGCTACGTTGACCTTGACACTAAGCATTATTTTTCTACCCATTTTAAAATGATCTCTATCCCCTCCTCTTCGGCCATTAGGAAGGAATTTTTTTATTTTGTATAACACAAGTAATCAAACACTTTGTTTCTTGGCTTTATCTCCAGCAGCCAAAATACCCATCATGTTGAGCAGTATCTGAGCTTCTTGATTCAAGACTCTTTTTCCTTTTATTTATAAAAGAAAATAATTGATAAAAGACCTTTCATATGTCTAAATTACGTGGGGCAGAGTTATTTCTATTGCGGGTACACATAGTGATTTCCTGAAGGTCAGTATGAACCCCAGGCTTTTGAGTATATAGTTAGTTATACCACAACATTGTAGCAAACACTTGGCCTACAGTTACAAATTTTATCTTTACGATAACTCCATAGGGCAGTCATAATTATCCTTCTTTCTCAAAGAGGAGGACTGAAGGTCAGAAAAGTTAAATCAGTTTACTGCAGAGCTGAGGCCAACACAACCCAATCTCAAATAAGGATTCTGTATTCTTAACCAGTTTGCCACAGTGTTTCAACTGAAAAGTAAAAAAAAAAAAAGAGAGAGAGAGAGAGAGAATGTATCTTCTTTGTATACTTTCTGCTCTGATGTTCTGGTTACAGCCTGACTTATGGACTATAACCCACATGATGTGACTTAGATAAATTACAAAACAGTATATAATCTAAAATAGCTTACATCTACACATTGTTGATATGGCCCTTAGCAAAAGATGTCACACTGTTGAATAAAACACACTTTCCACTGATTTCTCTTCAAAATCAAGTGCTAGAATAAAAAACTTTGTAGTTTTATGATTTACCCAGTAATTATGACAATTCAAAGTATGGCATTCTGTCTATAATGATAGATGTTATTACAAAAGTTATTAACGGTGTAGGCGACAGGTTATTAATACTGAGGGCCTGGAATTTCACCCTTTCTCCCCACCCTGCTTCTCCAGAGTTATTTCCAACCTCAATCAGAGCCCTGCCAGAAACCATGCGCCCCGCCCTTCGCAGAAGCCAAGAATAGCACCAAGATCTTTTCTAACAATGAAAGGAGACCCAGGAGCGAGGGTGTGGAGGTCACCCGACGAACCTTATCAATGGGATTTTCAGATGGCTGTGTGACTCATAGCCCTGAATAGAGAGATTCAAACAGGCAGGATCCTACCATCCCCTACTGCCTGTGCTGGTACAGACGATGTATTCTGGGTATTCGCTGGTTCAGGCTTGGTATTTTTCCACACAGCCATTTTTACAGGGCCCCATTACAGGATGGTCAGAGACTCTTCGACACTCCACCTTGAAATTTCCCTACCTACCACTGTCCTGATAGTTCACGTCTTTTCCTGAAGCCTCATTTGGGTAGACAGGTTGCCAAATGGATCAGCACTTTAGAGTATTGAGAGAGAAGTGCAGAAGGCGTCTTGGGCATAACTGAAGAGTTTGGCTTCCTCGTGGCTAAAGTCAACACAGTACCTGTTTTCAAGAAATTTTAACATGTCCTTGACTTTGAGTATGTCATGTAGGAAGCTCTCTTTTTACCATGAACTTCAACTACATAGAATTATATTCAATTTTTCCAGAATTACAGATGAAGAGAGCTTAAAAAGTCACTTAACTCATTAAATTCATAACTTAGCCGCCTAAATGGACAAACTCTCATAAAGTTATTACATTTATTTTACTGCTCCACTTTTTTTCAGGAAGGAATATTTTCAATGTCTGGAAAGCCCTGAAAACTAATGTCAATAGTGGACATAATCCCATTGAAGGTGATAATTGTCCTCTTTTAGTTAAGAGACTTGTTAGTATTTTTGCTGCTCTGTGACCAAGAAGTAACCTCCTCCACTTCAGAAAGCAGTGTGTCTCTTTTTTCTGCTTTTCGGCTTTTTTTGTCTTGAGCATATGGTAATAAAAATGGAATTCATTGAACACTTATTTTGTAGCAGGCACAGAATGCAACAAAAAAGATTTTAGTCAATTTGCAGTTTTAAGAAAAATAGTACAGGCAGTCCCTGGGTTACTATCGTAAGTGCAAGCTATATGTGAATCAAATGGTAATAACTTGGGACTGCCCGTATTACATCTTGTGGGGCTTTGAAAAGCTATCAAAACACCTGATTTCGGCTTGCTATTTGCGGAACTTTCTGGTTTAAATTACAAACATTGTGAGAACATTTCAATAGTAATTTTATACTATTGAATAAAAAATGTTTGTTTTAAATTACAAACACTGTGAGAACATCTTAATAGTAATTTTATAAGAGACCTACTTACAATGAATCTCGTATTCTCAAAAACGTGGCCAGGAAATGGTCTCTGCAAACAATATTTAGTTAGAATTTTTTTTTTTTAATTGAAAGCAAGAGTTGCATGTAGAAATCACCTGTGCCAGGTTCAGACTAGTCTGGCTCTGTTTACATAGAGCCTCTGGAATTAGATAAAATGATGGCTTGCAAAAATGGTGCAATTGAAATCAAATTTGATAAAAATGTTTATGGAACGGAATGTTCTGGTAATTGAGGTGTGTTGGCTAAACTGTGTTCTTCTTGTTGCCCCTCTTATTGGAAAGCTTTCAAAACTTATCAGTCCATTCCTGCTTGTATTATGATTACCATAGACACCGTGTTTACAGAGGGCACAAACTCAAATACCTCTGGGGCCAGGGACGAAGGGTAAATAAGTGAGGCAGGAAAAGCAAAGCACATCAAGAGCATATCCAGGGCGGCACCTGTGCCTCAGTGAGTAGGGTGGTGGGTTCAAACCCAGCCCCGGCCCAACTGCAACAACAACAAAAATAGCCGGGTGTTGTGACAGGCACCTGTAGTCCCAGCTACTCAGGAGGCTGAGGCAAGAGAATCGCCTAAGCCCAGGAGTTGGAACTTGCTGTGAGCTGTGTGAACCATGGCCCTCTACCAAAGGTGGTAAAGTGAGACTCAGTCTCTACAAAAAACAAAAAGAGCATTTCCAGCCTTTAGTAACGGCCCCTAACTGTGTTTTACTGAGCAGTCTTCTAGGAATAACTGTCTTTTCCAAAGCAATCCTGCGGGGTCTGTTCCTTTACACTCATGTAGTGCCATCTTCTGTCCCAGTAAGGATGTAGATAGTGCTTTACTTCTATTTTATAAATGAGCACAGAGCAGCAGAAATACACATATCTAAAGGGATCAGAGCCTTAGCTGCAGTTACACACACCCACACAGCAGTGCCTGCAGGAGACACCAAGCAGTGTGACCTCAGGACATGAGCCCTCCTCACCCTTGATGCAGGCTTGGTACACAGTAATTACAGAAAGACAGGTCAAAGCCTTCACACCTTTTAACCTATTTGATCTTCATCATAATTCTGAGAAGTAGATACTAGTATTTATACATATGGAAACTTAGGTCCCAGAAAGGTTAAGATAGCCCCCAGTGTCACACTGGGAGTAATTGCAAAGCCATGAGTTGAAGCCCCCAGTGAAAGCCCCCGCAGGCAGTGTGGCTCTCAGGTGGAGAGATTTTGCCCTCCAGGGGACATTTTCAAGTCCTCAGACATTTTGGTTGTCACTTGAGTGCTACTGGCAGCTATTGGGTAGAAGCCTAGGGTGCGACTACTCATGCTACAATGTCAGGACAGCCCCTTTCCTGACAAGAAGCACCCAGCCAAAAATGTCACTGGCATCTCTTTATGTTAAGAAACCCTAGTCTGGGCAGTTACCATTGTACACCCATGTGGCTAGAACATCGGCCACCAGGATAGTTGTGAACTAACTTCAAATACATCCTTCAAAGTTTCATCTGAAATGAATCCAGCTATCTGATTGCTTCCATGCTATTTTTTTCCCTTATAAAGAAAAATCTAAAAACTAATCCAAATAACTGAACATTTTATTTAACTAAGTTCCTGGGGGTTTTATATCTTGTTACAATATTCAGTACTGCAGATTTTATTTGTAAAACTTTTTTTTAGGAGTCTCACTTTTGAAAAGAAAATCTTAGACATTTTTGTCTACCTAGATATATGCATTATTAAAATTCCACCGTACATCTCTACACGGTTAAGTCTTGAACCGAATTGCTCCCAGTGAATCCTTCTTAGCTCCTCTTTCTTCTGACATTCTAAGTTACTTCCCACGGCCTTAATTACTTAGCAGCTGCCTGGCCAGATCTCTCTCCTTCTCACTTATGCCCCTGAACTGCCTGTTACCGCTATTAATTACTTTCAGAGTTTAGAGAGACACGTAATGGGTTAGGGAGAGGGGGAGACAGATCTCAGGAGCAGTGACATCACCAGAAAGGGCCAGCTGGCTGAGAGGGAGTGTGCTCTCTGCTAGTGAAATTAAAGACATCAAAGATAAAAGACTTCAAAGATAGGGTGCTTGGTGGAGGAGCGGGGAGAGGCTTTGACAACAGCCATCAATCCAAAGGTCTCCTGTCAACAGTGGTTTCTTTAACTATCGGTTATACACTTGTGACTTTTAAAAATCTGTCTTGAGGTACTAGGAATTTTCTTTTAAAACAGACTTTTCTCTAGAACTCAAAAAATATGTTCTTTTTAAGCTTAAAAATCCGACTGACCTTCTTAGTAAGCTTCTGACCAAAGTAAAACTTTCTGGATGTAAATTTTGTGTCCTTTTAGTCAGTGTGACTTCCTGTTTGGGGGAAGGAAGGAGATTAGAAAGGCTCCGAAAACTGCTTACATTTCAGGCTGTTCTTTAAATATTGATATTAAGTGAATTAAGTATAAGCTGGTTAAAAACCTATGGATTAAATTGTCTTTAAAACATGAATAGTTGTAAAAAGTAAGAAGGGTCAGTGCCTGGCAAGCTGTGATATTTTTGTTTGTACATGCAAAAATGTTTGAAAAGTAATTGTTGCCGTTAAAAAAAAAAAATTCCCAGTACAGCTAGATTTACCTTGCCTTTATTTACTTTTGTTAATTCACTAGCGTTGTGCAAACTGTCATAAACCTATTTTACGACTGTGTATTTTATTAGAAATAAGATAGAAGAATTTAGGGGGCAGAATTTATATTTTGGATTTTTTTTTCTATTACTTTAAACTTCCATGCTTAAGAATAGCTCTGGGTAAAATTTTTTATTACCAAACCCATGTGGTAATATTTTTAAGCCTCATAAATTGGTTTCATATCATATTCAAATGCAACTCATGAAAAAAAATTTTTTTTCTATCACAGCAATTATAGCCTGTATAGAAAGAAAAGGATATTTCTCATGGCTTCTGGTGTTAGTGACAGTATTTTTAAACACAAGGCTATATGGCCTTCTCATATACATATGAGAAGATATATATATATGTATACACACACACAAACATATGCATTTAATATGTGAGTCACATATTAAAGTCACATATACTATAAGTGAAACTAGTTAATTTAGTTCTTTTACTAAGTTCAGATAGTTGCCAAAATACAGAAATATTAATCAAGATGGTTTCACTAATTCTTCCTTTAAAGAAAACACAATTAGCATTGGCCGGTGCAATGCAAAGCAGTAAGGATGGAGAAATTTGAACTTGAATCGCGTGATACTAATGAGGCTCAGTCACATAGTCTCTGGCTCAGGCAAGTAGGTATCAACTGACAGGCAGAGACCACTGCAAATGGAGTTTGACATCATGTCTCCGATAGGTGTCTACTTATGAACTTGTTTGAGGCAATCACTTTAATTTCTAGAAGAGCATATTTAGAAAGAAAATTTACCAATACTGCGTCTAACCATGTAACTTTAAATAGCAATTTCTGTAATTGTGAGATTCCCCACAACAGAAACTAAATTCTGTTTCTGTTTTCCTATTCGTACCTCATTTTTTCACTACCACAAAGGATATCACAATTGGCTCTACATAAGTTTTACTGGTCAAAGAAAAACAGGTTTAAGATTAAGCATAACGATACGTGAAAGACTCATTCTTTGCATAAGCAGTTGGAAATACAAATGATACTGGTACAGTTTTTAGTACCTACTGTCTGCGAGAAGCTACATTAAATAGTTCACATACTATTTCTTTACTATCTTTTTATCTTGGCAACCATCAAGGAAGGTCGATATCATTCAAATGTGACAGTGGCTGTAACTAAGAATTTTTGGCATAAAGTGACACACTTCAATGAGATTTGAGTAAGAGGGTTTTCTGTTTCTAAAGAGAGTTTATGCTATCATGTTATCTGTCAAATATATATACGAATGCATGTATATATACATGTGTGTTTATAGGTATATATGTACACACGCAGACATTTGCATTTTAGCAGTTGTGACTAAATTTTGTCTCAAAATGTGATCATCACTAATGTGTCTCTATTTGTGAATTTTAAACTATATTTCAATTATATCCCTTTGAGTCCAACATTAAAGAGATGCTGATCACTCTTCATACTATGTTCAAATTAGCCCTCTTCATTTTCCTAAGTTTTAAGTTTTTATGGTCACTGTTTCATAAAATATCCTTAATCCATTGGCACTGATATTATTTTTGAGATGAATTATAATGCCAATCATAAATCTACAATTCCTTCCAAGTCCATTTTTATGTAAGTCATACAATTTTCATGTAAGTCATACAACTTACTTCACAGTAGATGTTTGCACATGTGTGGGGCTGAGCTACTGAATTTCACTCCCTTCTTTGTTTTATTTTCCATTACAGGAACATCCCTCACTAGGCCAACTTTCAGAAAAATTAATAGACAACAACATTAATGTCATTTTCGCAGTTCAAGGGAAACAATTTCATTGGTATAAGGTATGTTAATACTCAAAATATAAAAATAAAAATATTTGCATTGATAGTTGAAATTAGGATACTTTTTAGAGACAAAAATTAGGATTCTGGAATTATACTTTATACCATCTTACTAGCTAAAGCATACTTTATACTGTCTTAATTTAAAAATTATATGTAAATTCTATTTAGGTTTGTAACACCTAGAACCAAGTGTGGACACTAAATACTGTTTGAGAATTGTACTCAATACCGATGGGACAGCCTGATAATATGGTAGTGCTAAAGTTGAGAATAATGGAGACTTTTATCAGGTGAAAAGCAGATAATGTTCCAACTCTATACCTTTCATGTCCAGACTCCTGCGTATATTCTGGTACATAGGCACATCCTTATAGTAAGTTAAAGTTGGAGGCCAAGGCAGGAAGAACGCTTGAGACCAGGAATTTGAAACTAGCCTGGCCAATGTAGTGAGACCCACATCTCCATAAAACATTTTTAAAAGTAGCCAGGTCTGGTGATGTACACACATGTAGTTGTAGGTATACTGGAGGCTGAGGGGGAAGGATCATTTGAGCTTACAAGTCCAAGGCTGCAGTGAGCTTTGACTATGGCACTGCACTGTAGCCTGAGCACAGTGACACCCTTTCTCAAAAAAAAAAAAAAAAAGAAAAAGAAAGTTGGAGAATATCAGCTTAATCTCCAAAAGCACCGACATATCAAGCTTTGGTCTAGGTCATCCAATAAAAGGACCAAGCCAGTCAGCCTTCGTGTGTAGGACTAATCTTGGTGATGTCTGGAGTCCTTTGGGTCAGATGAGACCCACTAGCAGAGCAGGCTTTTGGCCACCACCTCATTCTGGAGCGTCAGGGATCCCCCAGCACGGAACTGCACTTCTGAGACCCTGCTGCAGCTTTCTTTGCACAGTCTTGTAGTTTCTCTCTTCCCAGAAACTCTCTTTTCAACAGAAATAGGGCTGTGGCCCAAATCAAATGGCCCAAACTGCTTTATTAACAACAGTCACAGCTTCTACTTTTTGGATACTCAACTCTTGTCAGGCACTGAATTGGTAAACATTAACTGACCCCTTAGCCACTCATCATGATGAGGGCAGTCTTAGTAATACATGCTCATTTTAAAGAAAAGGAACCACACTGAGGGAGGTTGAACACTTGTCCAAAGTTTTCTAACAGCCAGAATTCTGTGCTGTGAGTCTCTGAGCTTCATAGCTGACTTTTAAATACTGTGCTTCTTTTTACAGTATTTGCTTCCTGCTGTCTGCTGTTTATCATTTCTTCATAGTGTTGTTGGTTCTAGAAGATTCTCCCTACTTCTTTTAAAATCCGCCACTGACTGAGAAACCCTTAGACCAGGTTTATTAGTAATTGAATTGGGCACAAAGTCAGAATCAATGGGCCCTGAAAGTTGGCAAGCTCGTGTGTGAGACCCCTGGGTGATCCTGTATTCATTGCTTTGACTGCCCAGGAATCTTTTTTATCAGTCACCTTCTGTCGGGTTGTGACAGCCTCATAAGTGATCTCCCAAAATCATCCATTCTCCACCTGGCTGCCAGGAGGATCCATTGAAATCACAAGTGTGACCCCAGAACTCCCTGGAGCAAAGTGTTCCAGTGGCACCCTCTAAATTAGAGGACTGAGTCTCCAAGCGGCACCTGAAGACATCTGGTCTCTCTGCCTCTCTGGTCTCACTCCCCTCTGCTTCCTGCCTGGCCCCTGGCCCTCCAGCCAAGCTTCTAATCCTCCTGTGCCCATGCTCACCAGGCTGTTTCTTTCCTCTGTGTCTGTTCTGACTTCCTACCCCCGTGCCTGGGAGTCCTTCTTTCTCGTTGCTTGATTAACTCTTATACATCCTTTGAGCCAGAGTTCCTAAGTCACCTCGTCCAGGGAAACAGTCCTTGATGACCTTCTTCGCCTTTCATTCCAGCGCTTGCCAAGTATGCCCCTCATTCGGGTCTGTGCCTGTCTCTATTCCTTCACTTGTACAGTGTTTTGTGAAACTGTCATTTATATAATACATGATACTCAAAGAGAGAACTATGTGGCCTAGTGATGTAGCATCTCCAAATCTGTATACAGTAAGTACTCAATAAAAGTTTTGATATATGATTTTAAAAATCCATAAGTGATACATTTTCCCTAAGACTTGAGATACGAAGTTGTCTAATAGTGGCTGGTGTACAACAGGAACTTAATTATAATTGTGAATAGGAAAATGTGTGAACAACGGATTTCAAAACTTTTCATAATCTGATTCCTTATAAATATTCACTCTTCATTCGAGTCAGACTGGCTTCTTCTCTGTTAATTGCATCATCTGCCAGTTGGTTAGACCTTTCAGCCTTTGCTCCTTCTCATTTTCTCTCCGGGAATACCTAGAGTCTTCTCCATAATTATTAAGCGCCATTCATCATGAACATCTTCTACTTATTAACTATGATTTTTCCCTCTCAGGCTGGCCCAGCATGCTTTAAAGTTCATTCTATGGAACAGCAGTTCTGTAGAATATTTATAAATGTTACATGAGAAAAAAGTTTGGTAACTAAAGAAGTACTGGGAAATGTTGCATTAAGTAAAGTTAAATCCTTTGCAAATTACAGGCCTGCTCTGGACCTTTTAATTTGCAAACGTGTCTTTTGAGTCTCTAAGTGGAAGAAACCATATGTAAGACTTCCCAAGCTTATTTTGGAAACCTTTTTGGGTTCTAAATTTCGGGGGGCTGTGTTCCATAGAAGATACTTCCAGAGATCTAACTTCTGGGTTTTTTAAGTCATCACATACAGTAATTCAAGATGCAAAGGCATATATGCACCCATGCTGCCATTTCAGGCGTATGTTCTATCCTGTCCTATTAGGTTGCTCATATTTTAAACACAGAAATGTATAATTTGTTGATTATGAAACCATTGTCTACTATTGTCATTATTTAAATTATTTACTATTGAAATGCTACTAATATGTTTTGTAGGACCTTCTACCCCTTTTGCCAGGCACTATTGCTCGTGAAATAGAATCAAAGGCTGCAAATCTCAATAATTTGGTAGTAGAAGCCTATCAGGTATGTATATATTATATAAAAAAAAAATTTTAAAGAAACTTTTAACCACAATTTCTATGGCCAGATACAAGCTAGTGCCATATCATGTTGAGAAGAGGGGCAGAAAGAGCATTAAGTTAGCAATAAGGAACTGTGGCTGGCTCTATCACTAAGTAGCCATGGTGTCTGGAGAAAGTCACCTTCCATGCCTCACTTGTCTCTTTGAGAATAAACTAAGATTTGGCTAGAAGCTGTCTACATTTTCTTCCAAATCCAATGCTCAGAAAGTCATCAAATCATGGCTATATAATATACTTTATTACCAAAAAATTTCATAATTTCCTATGCCATAAAGTAAGAAATCCACCATTATTTAACGCAATAATCTGCCATGGAAAATGAACTATCTAGGACAGAAAGATGACTTTGAGGCCTCTCCTGGGAGTGTCACTTGATTGTTCAACCAGTTATTTTACCACTTTCATCAAAATAGTCTGACTAAAAGAATCATCTTACTGGGTGTCTGAGTTTGTTGAACTGATGACTTTTTATCATTCCTGTAAAAGTGGATGTGTAAGTGCAAGGAATTTAAGGAAACACCTGCTTTCTCACTTGGTTCATTTCTGGATATGATAATCTCTGTTTAGACATTGCAGGAATCGTGACTGTTAACTCTCGTACCACTAAGATCCATCACTTACCATTCATGACCTCATTTAGTCCTCACACCTGACCTAGAAAGCAGGTGTTAGTACTCCCGTTATATGAGACTCAGAAAGTTAAATTAACCGAAGGTTGCCCAGCTAATCAGCAGGAGAAGCAGGATCAGAAGCCAGGTGTTCTCAATTCTAGGCCCCAGGTGCTTCCTCCTAGTTGATACCACCTGTTACTCATTTTCTACATGGTGTCAAAAGATATGCTTTATTCTGCCTTGAATTTATGGGTCAATTATAAGGTCTCACTTTCCCAAATTCTCCGACTCACTTCCCCCCGTGTATTGTTTAATGGTGTAAGTTGTAGCCACAGCACTGTGACAAACTTCAGGCTTGTCTTATAATTTACTCAAGGCAGCGCCTGCCTTCACCTTGGGCATAAAAGGGAAAGGCAGGAAGTAGACACAGGATATAAAATGAAGAACTTGTTTAAACTTTCTTCTTTTAAAAGGAAAAGAAATCTTGCTAGATTTGTGTTTGAAGAGGGTTTTTTTCTATGTCTGGAAAGTACGTTGTATAAGATAAGGAAGAAAGTCTTAAATTACATCTTTTTCTCACTGTTACAAAAGAACGTTAGGCCTAGGGGAGGATTTTTGCAAAGAAAATCAACCATCTGTACAATTCATTTCATCAGTAGTTTGTTCCCCAGAATAATCAAAATAAGAAAGAACCATATACTTTTGGGAGCCATCTTCCACTTTATACTCTGAACCCATTTATTATTCAAAACATGGTAGAGGAGTTAACAAATGTTTATCTGTGGGTCCGTAAGTCTGCACCAAAGACTAAGAAGATAGCCACATTTGGTTTCAAGTCCTTTATTTGCCTAGGATAGGTGTGGACACCTTAGATCCTTACAGTTCCGATTAATCTTAAACAGCAAAAAATATTAGTCATTCCAACAAAAACTTACTCTGGCTAACTAATCTCCTTAAGTTGGGCTTCCTCTATTATTTTCTGTATGTCTGTATTTTCAATATTCTTCTGAAATTTCATTTTCACAGTCCAACAGAAACAATTCACAATTCCTTAAAGAATTGTATGTCAGTTAAAAAAAAAAATAGATTCTGCCTCTGTACCTATGAGGTATCAAAGGGGAATGGGAGGATTGTGCCTGGAGATTAATTTCTAAATCCTAAAACTGGGCAGGATTTTAGAGATGTGTATTCACTCTCTGCATGAAAAACATTGACCTGATTAGCTTAAGGTCTTAAGATAAGTAAGTGTAAGGACAGACTGCCAGTGTTCATTGTGCCAGGCATTCCCACGCATCTGTCAGACTGTTTGCAAATCAACATCATTTGTATACCACTGGAACTTTCTATCAGTTTGCTAAAATTATTCAGTTATTCATCACAATTTATGAGCTCTCTTGGGGATAAAAATGTAGCTGACATCATCTCCCCTAATGCAAATAATATTTACAGCAAGGAAGGTATCATGTTCTAAAGAGATACTGCCAGAATTCCACGCTCGATTATCAGTCATGATTGATCATGCATGTTTCTTTATCAATGAATTATATCACTGAAGAAGAAGAAAAATTACTCAAGTAAAGAATTAGAAGCCACTGGGAATTATTTTTCTTCTTCATATCCTGCTGTTCAATCTCTTTCCTTAGGAACATACTTCATTTTTCCCTTTCTTGTGCTTACGGGTGTAGACTAAGGATTTGACGTGTGGCAAACATTACAGTTACATGGGACAAAATGTACATATACCTAAAGTTCATCATTAAGGTAGCTAGGTTCTTCGGAAATTAGATATTGTGATGGAAGAAATGGACATGTGCCTGCTGTATGATAGACATTAAATAGGTGTTTATTGGATAAATATATAAATAGGTGAATAAATCCACAAATGGTTTTCTACCAGTAAGAGGCCCTATTTGAGTGTTAGGGATTAGAGCAAACTTGTCTGACACAGCAAATCCCAGGAAGTTGGCAAAATTCCTAGGCTGTTCTTTGAGAACATTACTGGACTATATATTTCGGGTAATTATTATGCCTATGGTAGAGAAAGGATCTCCCCAAAATGTACCTTTCAATTCTATAGTAATAAGGCATCTTAGCTTTACAGTAGTCTCAAGTATTTGGAGAAACCCAAATTATTTCTTCAGCAGCTGTGTATGGGAGAAGCAATTTCCACATTTGTTGAGCTGGCAATATTTACCCTTTGTGACGACATATGTGTTCTCAATGTTTTATTTAAATTTTGATCAGAAAAATAAGTGTTAACTGCATGTAAAAATGACGATTTTGGTAACAGGCTGAAAAATAGCTTTGAAGAGATCAAAGTGCACAGTCATGGAAATATGTTAAAACAACAACAACAACAATTTTAAATGCAGACAATCTAATCCTTCAGTATTTCTTATATATTTCAAATGCAATTAGGTCATTTGGTTTTATTTATCCTTTAATCAGATTTGTGATTTAGTTAAACATTCAGTGTGTAAGGATTTAAATAGCTTGACTTTACTGTGTTGCTTAGATTTAAAACTACTATAGTATATAATTCAAAAATGATGTCCCTCCAGAAACTCCTTTCAGAAGTGAAAGTCCAGGTGGAAAACCAGGTTCCAGGCGTCTATTTTAACATCACCACCATCTGTCCAGATGGGACGAGAAAGCCAGGCACAGAGGGATGTGGAAACGTGACGAGCGATGATGAAGTATGTGGATGTGCGTTTTTTCCCGTTTAAAATCAACTCAGTTCTTTGGGGTACTTCCCGCAGAAAAATCAGCCATTCTGGAAAGATTTAGTTCCTATCAACCCCAAGAATCTTTATTTATATTTCAAAGTGACTATCATTGTCTCTCTTCTAAGTTTCTACTTGTTGTAACCCCATTGATAGTTCTCAAAAACTCGCAAGTTAAAATAAATAAATAAATACATCTTATATTAAATATTTGTTCAATAATAGTAACTTCAAACTTAGGTTTCACAACCACTGTAGAATAGGAAATCACAGCTTCCCAAATGAGTACTGTCTATACTTATGAGGATGATAATGCTTTTTGGGGTTTCGAATTCACAAATTCTTAAGAGTAAGTGTGAAATTGAAAGTCATAAGTCACCGAAATGAATGGGCATAATGGCACAGTTATTAAAGGCTAAGAATTCCAAAATGTTTCACTTTGTGATTACTCAAGTACGCTCCTAAGGATATAGAAAGAGGTAGAGAAATTTGACAGGCACGTTGAGAAAGGAGTTGTGAAATCTTCTGAAAAGGCAGGAGATATAAAGCAGAGAGGTACAGACTACAGCAGCCCTGGGAGGCAGGACTGGAGGAGAGAGGGACTGTCCAAGGACCAGCCCAGTACAGCGTGGCACACACAGATGCGCTTTAGCAAGTCCTTGCAGGGTGAATTGATTTACAGGGAGTCATTTACCTGAGGTCTGGAGGCATCAGCTGTCTCATTTTTAAATGAATGAGTAGGACTAGAAGATTTTCTAATCCCTCTTCCTTCCACCTCCAAGGTTCTTTGATGGTTGATTATTTAATGTCATGCTATAGAGGGAAAAAAAAAAGATATTAAGATAGAAAGTTCTAAGATGGAATAAAATAAAACCATTGTTTCTCTTTGGTTAGAATATATTTAATCCCTGTTGGGAATTTTAGAAACTGTGGGTAGAATAATTGTTCCTACAGGCTGTATATTTTAAATTAATTATTACAAGTTTCTAATTCTGTAGTTTCCTCTGTAATCACTCTTTGGATTTTGTTCAAAAGCCATCATTCACCAGTTTGCAAAATACACATTTGATTTCCATTAAATGCAGAGAAAAGTTTTTACTAGCAAAAGATAGCACTAAGTTACTTTCGGAAAAATGGTTACCTTTTTAGAAATAGCTTCTTTCCTTCGAATTCTCAATTTTGGAAGAATGGTTTGTCTGGCTTTGTACATTTTTTTTCTTTTTCTTTGCCTAATCTTTTTCCCTTCACTTTCAACCAAATAGTATAAATAGTGTGACTCTCAGGAATGGTCATATGACCTCTTCATTCTATAAATCCCGTGTTTTGCTCTACTGCTAGTAATGGCAGTGACCACATTATCTCACGCATCTGTTAATCCTAAACGTTCTTCAGGACAATGCCAGTTCAAGTATAATACCAACTATGTTGATTTTAATTTAGGCGACTGAGTCTAATTCCTAATGCTTAAATAAACCTAAATTTAGCTCTTTTATATCATTATACATGTTTTGCAGCTTGGAAAGAAAAAGAGATATATGCATACATGTGAGAAACCTTCTTATTTGCTAGAGTACTTAAAGATGGTAAGGCGAATTCAACAAATAAAAAGATACAATAAATCAGTCTTCTGTAAAAAGAAAGAAAATTATCAGGAGAAATAAACTAGAGTTTTGTGCAGAAAACAAATTTCTGCCAGCCCTGCTCCTTAGTTCTGGGCTAATATCCTTTGTTGAGGTCTCAAGATCTAAGCACAGGAGTCCTAGACTTTTTTCCCTCGAGTCACATTAAAGAAAGCCTCATTGACAACTGCTTAACTAAAATTTAACTCTCAAACTCCACTTGGGCTCCTAGAAAATAAAGACAAAATAAAAACTTCTCATTTGAACTTCTTCTCTATTGGCTTTAAACCAAGAGATGGAAGCCCTTTACTTTAGTTTCTATTTCCCTAGAATCACGTATTCAAGAACCCCACATTTTAAGGATTGAACACTGAAAATGGCGTGTTCTTTCTCAAGTTTGCTAAGATATTAATCATCTGGGTAGAGTAAGTAGATACTTGAAGTCGGCCCACACCTAGGTCTGTGCAGTGGTGCAATACAGGTAATTGGCAGTCCTTGGACCTTTAATTAGAAAATAAATGACACTGAAAAGGGATATTGCATACACGTTGAAAGAGATTGCATATGTACTTCTAAATCATTGTTAACTTCTCTCAGATGAGTTATTTTTGATTCAAATATTAACAGATATAATATTGGTAATAAAAATAGTCAAGGCATATAAATGTATTTCCTTTTTCCTCCTAAATTTAGGTTCTTTTCAACGTAACTGTTACAATGAAAACATGCGATGTCACAGGAGGAAAAAATTATGCAATAATCAAACCTATTGGTTTCAATGAAACCACTAAAATTCACATACACAGAAATTGCAGCTGTCAGTGTGAGGACAACAGCAGACCTACAGGAAAGTACGTGGATGAAACTTCTCTGGATTCCAAGTGTTTCCAGTGTGATGAGAATAAATGTCATTTTGAAGAAGACCAACTTTCTTCCGAGAGCTGCAAGTCACACAGAGATCAACCCGTTTGCAGTGGGCGAGGTGTTTGTGTTTGTGGTCAATGCGTATGTCAGCAAATGAAGTTTGGAAAAGTATATGGAAAATACTGTGAAAAAGATGACTTTTCTTGTCCATATTACCATGGAAATCTGTGTGCTGGTAAGGATAAATATACACAGGCTGTTTTTACTAATCACTGTTATGCTCACATCTATGTTAAAATGGCTTTAAATCCCATCTTTATAAATTAACAACACTGGATCCTAATTTGTCATTCAGTTTCATGAGCTGGGAAACTAGGGCGTGACAACAGATTTATAGCACATGATTTTAGTATTTACATTTTAACTTATTCTCTACAGGAAGTACTTCAAAATAAAAACCTTAATTAATTGTCATTGTTACATATCCCTTCATCTTGGAAAGAAATATAGCAGGAAAGGAAATTACTGATAATGTCTGATACAGTTCTTTAAAGAATCAGAGTATTCTTCTTAGAAGAATCTGATTCATTCTGGTAAATTTCCTCAAGCTTTCTCACAGGGTTTTATTCCTGTCAGGTTGATAAGAAATGAGCTAGTGGGTAGTACCTGTGGCTCAAGGAGTAGGGTCCTGGCCCATGTGCCAGAGGTGATGGGTTCAAGCCAGCCTCAGCCATAAACTACAAAAAAAAAAAGAAAAGAAAAGAAGAAGAAGTGAGCTATAAAAATATTCTTTTCATTTATTGGAAAATTCTTAATGCATTATAATAGACATTACAAGTTTGTAGTAACTTACACCTCTCTGGTGTGTTTTTTGAATAATAACACAGTTGTCAAAGGACAGCATTTTTAAAGAAAATAATGGTTTACTAAGTATGTAAAAGATAATCGTGAGCCCACATACAGGCCAAATTTTAAAAAATGAAATGAATTAAAATAAAAATGTCAAGATTATTTTGGTTAATTCCGTTTACTGCCACCTAGAGGTTAGATTTCAGAAAATCTGTTCAACATTTGAAAATCAAATAGTTTTTAAATGAATTTAATAAACTGTCATTTGAGTTCTGTGATAATTTTTCTTTGACATGGTACTAAATCCACTTTTTGTGAAAACGCATTTTTAATATTTGTATTTTTGTAAATATTTGTAAAGTTATTGAGAAATGTCATAAACATAGGGAAAATAACAAATCTATAAAAATTTTTCTGCTCGTGTCTAAGTGAAAAATTTGACCTGCATTACCTAAATTTGTAATGGAAAATTGTCCTTTTAATTCAATTATAAAATATTTTATATTTCAAACTTTTATTCTGCTGGAAAGGCATTACAGATGACTTTCGAATGAACTAGCAGTTGTCTCCTATATTTTAGAGAGAAGAGAAATATTATTTCCCAGGGAAAAGATAGAATTTTCCGAGCTCATTTTCTACAGCCATCAGTCTGTTGAAGAAATTTCAACTGCATCAAGGCTTTGCCCCAGTTTCTGTTTGTAGTGAAATGTGTGTATCAAAACTGTCCAGGCAATTGAGACTCGTCTCTGAAATCTTCGTGTATAAATATGAATTGTAGGGCAGACTTGGACTTTCTTCACTAGTCTCCTTTGGGAATAAAAACACATGTTCATGGGCCCCCTGGCTGGGACTCAGCGTGCATGGCGGAGCGAGTCTGGCAGACGTTTGTTTGGCCTGAATCTCATTAGTTTTATGCGCAGTAAATTGGGCTGATCCTACAGTACACGCACATTTACTCCGAGCTCAGCAATAAAAGAAGTGAGAGAGGGAGCGAGGAAAAGAAAGGCGAGAGGGAAGCGAGGACGGGTGGAAAGAAGGAAGGCAGGCAAGCATGAAAGGTACCCCTTCCTGAAGATTTCTGGTTCATATTGGCATCTTAAATTTTGGACACTTTTTGCACTCTAAAATTCTTTTAACTACGTATAACCAGTGTTTCCTCATCTTATTTGTCTGCATAAATGTCCCCCCACATCATCATTTCTTTTTTTTTTTTTTTTTTTGGCAGTTTTTGGCTGGGGTTGGGTTTGAACCCACCACCTCTGGTATATGGGGTCAGTGCCCTACTCCTTGAGCCACAGGTGTCGCCCCATCATCTTTTTTTTTTTCTATTTACCACCTACTAACAGCTCGCAACATAGGACATGCCCCAATAACCTAGTGAATAATGTTCTGAGTATGCGAAAAAGTTAGTTCCACTTCCCAGGAGACTTTATCTTAACCATGGTACCAGCAGCTCTGAAGCACTAGATTTACCGCACGGCCCTTCAGAATTACCCCCAGGCCTTTAGCAATAATGAAAGACTGAGAGAATAGCTTTTGGAAGCCATTAATCAAATAACCTTTATTCTTTTGATTTCAAGTCAGAAAGTTAACATTACTTCAGCCTTTGCAGCATCTTTATATTTGTGTGTTTTTAATTTACAGCTGAATGTACCATGACATTCAAGCAGGGAGGCAACCCCCAGGGCAGGGGCGCCCTTCACACTTGTTAGCACAATACATTGGCATGGAGAGATTATCCAGGAGAGAACAGCTTTGGAAATAGACACTCCTAAATCGCGGCATTGTTTACATCAGACCAATAGAAAATGATGCTGTTTCTATTCACTAGGCTGTCAGTGTGTTTCCATGGAGATGGGAGGGGGATCCATGGCTGGGGACTCTTCACAGAGTCAGTGGTCCCAATAACATAGGTCCTGGGGTGTCTTTGTTGCAGGGCATGGAGAGTGTGAAGCGGGCAGGTGCCAATGCTTCAGTGGCTGGGAAGGGGACCGGTGCCAGTGCCCATCAGCATCAGTCCAGCAGTGTGTCAACTCGAAGGGCCAAGTGTGCAGCGGAAGAGGCACATGTGTGTGTGGCAGGTGTGAGTGCACCGACCCCAGGAGCATCGGCCGCTTCTGTGAACACTGCCCCACCTGCCATACAGCCTGCAAGGAAAACTGGTAGGATTTCTCTGTCTCCGGACATGCAGAAAGCAGTCCTTCCTGAAACCTGCTTCTGTCCTTCATCGTTCTGCTTTCCTTTCCTTAATCTTAAAAGTTGCCAGATATATTGTTACTATCATGCTGGAAAAGAATTAAATAAGAGATATTAGAAATTAGTGGATTTGGATTCCAATCTTTGGCCACGAGGTAGCTGCAGAAGCATCAGGATAAATCTGGACGTTCACCAGTTACCTACTATCCTGTTTATGACTAGAATTAGTGTGATCTAGGACAAGTGGATACAATTCTCTGTGCCTCAGTTTCCTAATAAAAATTAGGATTCTGATAATAATACCCTCTTATAGTTTTATGAAAGAATTAAATGATTCATGTCAAAAATACTCCTTTGTATTCAGTACATGGTAATCATAGAATAAATATTAGCTGTTAAGTTATTCCTATTATCTTTAATATTTTAATGGTAAAGAACCATGGTAACTGTGAAGCACTCTAGAAACAAATTATATATAAGAGAAAGGTGATATGTTAGATAAAAGTGATATTATTGTCTTGAGCCAAGTTAGTTTCCAATAACAATTTAACATCTGCTTAAAGAACACTAGTCTGGACACCACCGTCCCTTCCAAATTGTTTCATTCAAAATTTTAAAACACACTTTCTCAAACCAGTAGCTAGATAAAGTAAGTTATTTAGAATTATGTGTGGTAATTTATTTATATCATTTGAAAAGCAATATTTTAATACCGGAGTTAATTCAAAGAAACCCAATCAAAACTTGAACTATCTATTGATTGGTATTTTGTCATCTTATTGTTTTGCAGAAAATATTACCATTTACTATCTTTTAAAAAAAAATGAATGTTTTCCTTTTCCCCCGTACAGGAATTGTGTGCAATGCCTTCACCCTCACAACCTGTCCCAAGCTATTCTTGATCAGTGCAAATCGTCCTGTGCCCTCATGGAGCAGCAGTATGTGGACCAGACCTCAGGTAAACCAGTCACAGTAACCCAGGCGCTGAAGGTACCTGTAGAGGGTAATACTCTCCAAAGGGCCCGTCGTTAACCGCGATGAAGAAAGTATGAATGGATTCATTTTTTTATTATGAAATATTGCCTTATTATTTAGAATAGTTTTATTAAAGTATCATTGATACACAAAAAACTGTTCACATTAATATACACAGTGTAATAAGTTTGTGATTCAGTTTTTTTTAAAACTCCCAGGGATTTTACTCTTAACCAATGAAGCAATGGAGCAGGCTTGCCATGATGTAGTTAAGTGGTTAGATTTTTCGTCTCATCTGCACAGCTCAATTTTTGTACTGTGTACCCGAAGAGCATCACATAAGTTATCTAGAGAGGCCTTGATGACCGAAAGGTATGAATTCCCCAAGTAGACTCATTTCAGTAAGAGAGAAGGTGTCTGGAGTCATCATTTTTCTTCATCACTCAAATGTGCTTCCAGTTCTGAACTTCTTCATGTTTAAGCAACATTTACTTTCAGGTGTCAGGAGAAAACCAAGAATTTCTAAAATTCTGCTTTTGTAAGATACATACCTTCAAAAGGCCATTCCTTCCTGGTACTTTTCATTCTGATATCAATATAGTTTAGGGTGAAGGATTATAAAGGCAGCACAGTGGAAAGGGTATGGCACTTTCAGTCTGAAGACCTAGGCCTAAAGCATGTCCCTTACCGTTATTAGTTAAGGGGCTAATATCAGTCTACCTCCAAAATTTCCCTGAGCCTTAGTTTTCCCATTTATAAAATGGAGATAAAAATCAACCTCAAAGACTTGACATTAAATGAGCCAATGGACCTGGAAGAAATATCTGAAGTAAACGATAATGCAAAAATAGGAGAAAAACATGAGAGCTATTTTTTTTTCTAGAGATTATTTTTTTTTTCCAGAGAAGGGTCTCTCTCTGCCATTTAGGGTGGAATGCAGTGGTGCTATCATAGCTTACTATAATCGTGAATTATTGGACTCAAGCAGTCCTCTTACTTTAGTCTCCCAAGTGGCTGGGACTATAGGCATGCATCCCTGTATGTGACTATTATTTTTTTTTGGGGGGGAGGGGGGTTAGAGAGAGGGTCTTGATGTGTTACCCAGGCTGGTCTTTTGAGGCTCCTGACCTCAGGAAAACCTCTCACCTTGGCCTCCCAATGTGCTCCACACATGTAAGCCAGTGTGTTCAGACCTCAAAGATTTTTTTTTTTTTTTTAAGAGAAAGGGTCATGCTTTGTTGCCCTGGCCAGAGTGCAATGGCCAATCATAGCTCAGTGTAACCTTGAACTCCTGGTCTCAAGTGATCCTGCTGCCTCAGCCTCTTGGGTAACTGAGACTACAGGGGCACCAGCACACCCAGCTAATTTTTTTTTTTTAAGAGATGAGATCTCAGTATGTTGTCCAGGTTGGTCTAGAGTTCTGGGCCTCAAAGGATCCTTTCACCTCTATCTCCCAAAATTGAAGGATATTTATGTATTTATTTTTAACTTTTAAATAAAAAGTTTATGAGAACCTAAAAACCCAGAAACCTGCTTTGTACTGGTGTAAGGTGTGGGATGATACATGAGTTAGCAATTAAGCTTGAAATTATGACTTCATTGAAAACATTCCTATTGCTACTATTATTTAAAAATTTTCCTCCAACCTATATGAAAAATTTTAGCTCTTAGGGAGACTATGCAGTAGAATAAACTTTCTGCAAAGTTTGTTTCCTTTTTCCTTCACATCCACACTGAGTTTAGCCTGTAATGAATTTGGCTCTGAAAAAGAGCCCATGTGCTACCAGCTGGGACTGCAGCAATCTCTCCAGAAAGCCAAGTGCCTTTTCTAATAAATACCAAGATGTCATTTATTATGTTAAGTAAATACACACTACTCTGCATTAAGTGTTGTTACAAAAAGTATTCCCCTAAAGCTTCTTAGGAAAAGCCCTGGCCTGACCTAACCTATGAAAGGCATGAGCCAGGGGGGTAGATGTTCTACTATCCATAACAACACGTAAAAATGCATGCCCTGTGAGTGTCCTCTGTCCTACCCGATTAGAGATATTTCTAAGATGTGTCAGTAGCTAGGGGGCTCCCCTCCCCTTCACAACTGCCATGTAAGGAGAGGAAAGGGCACTCCTTAGGCACCTCTATCATCTCTCCACTCAATCACACTTAAAGGCTGTTCTTTAGTCTCTCTGGCTGCTCTTCTACAGGCCAGAAGCCAGTGAATGGGTCAAACTCCAAGGCCCCTCTAAGGATCTGCCTTAACTGACTGAGTAGTCCTAATCAGCCAAGGGAAGTGACAGCCCGTCAGGACAAAAGGCATGTGTTGTTTGAGCCTGAGTGTCCTTGCAGAAGATTCTAAGAACACTACCTTGAAACACAGCACTCGGGATTCTCCCTCGGAGCTGTGCTGACTGGAGACTTTCACTGGCATTTTATGTTTTCCCTCCAACCTGTAGCCTCTGACCTTTCTTTCAAGGTATCTTATCACTGACCAAAAGAAAACTGAGCTCCATTAAGGTTTTCCTCATGGAGAGGAATTCTTGTTTTCTATCACTGAGTTCTTGCCTTAATCAAGAGCTCATCTGGTCATCACTGGGAATCTAAAAATAAATCACTCGTAAGTGGGGGATGCACAGTTCCAAGCCTTGGCAGATCTCCTCCAGTGGCCCTCTCAGGGAGACCTTGGACATTTGGGTGAGGTCCCCAAAGTCTGGAGAATGGGCAGAGAAACGCAGGCCTCGTTAGGCCAGGAAGTAATTTTATGAATCTAGGGCAGCGAGTGAATTCTGTGGAATACAGGCCTATTGTGCAACCGTGTTCCTCTAAGATTAGGGTAATACCACTGGCAGCAACAGAGCCTGTAGGCTTTCCAGTGAGAGTTTGGCAAGGATCTGGTGCTAAAATGGAGATGGAGCATGTCCCTTCTCTTAACATAGCTTTTTATTTTTCAGCTAGTAATTACTTGTTCTTGGAAAAATAACAGTGAATTTTTAGAGGCAAATAAGATAGATTTTGTTCACAGACATGTAAAAAGCAAATTAGTGAAAAGTAAAGACAGAGATTTTCATATTGTCCCAAATTGGATGCTCCTATTTCCTGGAGAAGCTATGGGTAATAGTAATGAAAACTTGCACTATAATTTCAGGGGAAATATTTATTTATCTACTTTCGAGTAGTACTGATTTTAGCTTCTGCAGATGTTTACTTTATTTTCCATTACTGGCATGGAACAAATGATAATAAGAGAAACAAACATATGTTAATGCCCAAAGCTATTAAATATTTTAAATCCTATTTTCCACTTAGTGGCCAACAGCACAAACCACAAACATGGTCTCTTTCTCTGTCAAGGAGAAGATTATGTTTGATTAAAGGGCTTGGGCAAATCCAGTTAATACAATTAAAGAATCAAGCTGCAAAGCAATAATATTATTGAATACATTAATGGTGTTATTCTCCAAAAGAGAGTTTTCTGTTGAAAATACCTCAGTGATAAACACGCAATCAAAATTAGAGAGTTGGCCTTTTTGAGTCAACAGTAATTTAAGTCCCCTGTTTGGAAAATGTGGATCACAAATATGTCTGGTCCTCTTTGTTAAGACATGATCATCCTTTCAGTGATAGAATCCTTTGATTTCCTCATTCCTGTTTTTAACCCACGTATCTGTTTGCTTCATTACAGAATGTTTCTCTAGCCTGAGCTACTTGAGAATATTTTTCATCATATTCATAGTTACATTCTTGATTGGGTTGCTTAAAGTCCTCATCATTAGACAGGTGATACTACAATGGACTAGCAATAAAATTAAGTCCTCATCAGATTACAGAGTGTCAGCTTCAAAAAAGGTCAGTGAATTCTAAGAAAGAATTACTGTGGGGAGTGGGAGGGGGTCGGGGTGCTCTCACTGAAAGGCACCGGGTGGGGGTATCTGACACACCTTTTATGTGTGGGACATAACCACGTAACTCTACCTAACAAAAACAAATATTTTGACCTGGTTGTTTGGACCCTCACATTAACCTGAAATAAAATTACTTTTCAAAAAGAATTTTAACGATAAAAATTCAGACTGTAAAACAAAAAGAAAAAGAATTATTATCAGTATGTTATCGTCTACTCCCACTATTTAGACCATTAATTAATAATAATATTTCTTCTCCATCAAGGATAAGTTGATTCTGCAGAGTGTTTGCACCAGAGCAGTAACCTACCGACGTGAGAAACCCGAAGAAATAAAAATGGATATCAGCAAATTGAATGCTCATGAAACTTTCGGGTGCAACTTCTAAAAAACGATCTTAAAATAACTTTCTGCAAAACTGGATTTTTTTAAAAAAATAATTGCTCCTAAAATTTATAATTGTAAAAGTCACAGGAGGAGACAAATTGCTCCAGATCATGCCGGGGCCGGTTGGACCCTCGAATGAAGACCGACAGGCATCCTCATCATCATGTGACTCCCACAGCTGCTGAATTTTCCAGAGAAAAATGTGTCTTACTACTGTTTGAGACTAGTGTCTTTGTAGCACTTTACTGTATTATATAACTTATTTAGATCAGCATAGAATGTAGATCATCTGACGAGCACTGATTACACTTTACAGGTACCTGTCATCCCTACGCTTCCCAGAGAGAGACAATGCCGTGAGACTTTGGCATTGTGTCACTACAAGGGTACAAGCCATCCCCGCACCAAACATGTGGATGAGAAAAATACTTAAACAGTGATATACAAATGCTGCCAAACACTGCAAGCATTGGTAGGTGACTAGACAAGAACAGCTAGATGAAGAAATGGTTAGCATTTCACTCAGCCCAGAGGTGAACAGATGGAACCTTAACTAAGGATATTGCTTTTGAAACTAGTTTCATGCATGTGTGTTTACGTTTCTCTTCTTTTTACAAGATGGATGTTGATTCCAGCGTTCTCTCCTGAGTTGATGTTTTGTTTTTCTTCCTTACAGGATACATTAATATTTATCACAGATGACTGGATTAAATAAGTGCTAAGTTACTACTGCCATAGAAACCTAATAATTCAAGGTCACTTTATTAGAATACTGGTTTGAAAAGTTGAATGTTAATAAGGGGTCTGTAAAGGATCATCCACCCTGAACGGCTTCAGATGCGGAGTTTTGTATCTTATCTAGTAAACTGGAGGGATTGTTTGGCTATTTCATTTGTCTGATCATTGATTCACAAGATACTTAAAAACTCTGCCTCAAGCAAAGTACCATGCTTCTGAATGAGTTTTCTTTTTTTTATTTTAACTCCAAGTAGATCTCAGCATTTTTCAAATGAAAAGCATATTACTTTTTTACTTTTGCCCTTGAATGTAGCCAAAGGACATCTCTTCCTGAATCACCCCAAGCCTCCTCACCAGAATTCATAAAACTATAAAATAGAAAAAGGGTAGGTGATGTCTTAGAAACTGAACCTTTTAATGAGTCAGAGTACTGAGGCTCAGAAATTTTAAAGGATTTCTTAAAATACACCCACCTGATGAAGTGGCAACATTAGAAAGAGCTTTCCTGTGCTCATTCCCAGGCACGCGTCATTGTACATGTCATGCTACCTCTTGAATCTTTAAAATATTTCAATTGGCAAGTATTTGTAAATGTGATTTACTGAAGTCTCGATTATTTGGACATGAGAAACTTTCAAAGCAAAGTAGAAAAGAATCATTCAAACTAAACTATCCCTAATTAACTTCTAGTCTTTCCTGCTAATCAGCTTCTAATTGCAGCCTGGCCTGACTACAGGTGAATCACTTCGCACTGTAACCTGTATGAACAGCGTCCCCTGGAGTTGTTCAGTGCTCATCTGCTCCACCCAAGATCTCCATGCAGGCCATGAGCTCTGTCTTCCCCAATAGGGACCTCTTTATAATTACCCTACTCTTACAGATTCAGTCTGATTGTATTGGCCAGGAGTCTAATAGCCCTGTTGTGCAGTACAGAGTTTTGCCTAGGACAACAAAAGAATTTATTTAAAATATCTTCTTACACATATAATTAACTCTACAGATGTACCATCTTCCAGCACTTGGGCTACAGTACTAGATACTTGCATTTTGGTGAAGACTAACTTCCATCCTGTATTCTATCTGAAAGAGAATTGAAAAACCTATAGCAAGTTGTTCCAGAACCAGCAAACACAGGACTGCATTAAGTGTCCCCCACGCCAAGCAATTAGGATGCTAACTTGAACCAATTTTATTTTTCCAAATGAGAGACTGATAGAATGCAGTATTGAGACTCACTTGTGGAGGAAACCTTTAATTACTAAGCATTGCGTAAAAACCATATGCTAGAGCCTCTCACACATGGCATCCTTTTAAAAATGGCAAATGCATGGATGCTTCACAAACCCCCAGTGGGGAAAAAAAGGAGAAGATACTCCTGAATGAAAATGCTGACAATTTTTTAAATGAATGTTATAATGTTCATAAATAATAACTTAATTTCCATAGAAAATGGCAAACAAAATTAAATCCTTAGATCCTTATAACCTCACTAGTTTGCACTAACTTTATAGTGGACCAAGGCTGTTATTACAGGAAGGAACAGATTTCCTTGCCAGCAATTCAGCACTAGGTGGTGATTGTGGTGATGCTTGTGATGTCTTGTGCTTTCTATTTTTTACTCGAAGAGCTAATTCTTAAAAATTTTAGGCTTACATTTTACTTGAATAATTGCTGTTTTCTTGTGTAATGGTTTCTGACTAGTTAGAATTAATTAAGAGGTAAGGAAAAACAGGGTATTCTTAGATGAAATAGGTTAGAGCCTATTTCCAACTAATACGGCCACAAGAGCCTTTGGAGATTCATTGGTATTAGACATGATTAATGGATTTTAAATTGTTAACAAAATTAAGAACTTGAACAACAGTTTTAGTTACAACAGCATTTTTGTGCCCTAAAAATATGTAATGATTTAGAAATGTGCCATCCGTACACTACAGCATAACTGTATGCATTTTACTTCTCTGGGGACGCCTTTACACTGCGGTGTACATGTATTTATAAGCATTTGATATATTTTGGGAAATTTTCTAATATTTATTATGCCATAGACATCCTCTGGAAGACTTCAAAGTTCGCTAAAACTTTGATTATGTACTAAATGTTAAGTATAACTTTGATTTATAAAAATAGCAAACAACAACAACAACAAAAAAGCTAAGGTTAAATGGAAAAGACATCTCTGGAGGCAAATTTAGTTAAAATCAGTGGATACATCAGCTGCAACACTTAACCAAAGAATAAATCCCAAATATTTCATAATGTTTACTTACCTCCATTGCAGATAATCTTATGTATGATAACAGGCATGCAGCAGACATGAATGAAAAATGTTCCCTGTGGATTTTTTTTTTTTTTCTGGTACTGGGCAGATTATACTCAAAGGTTTTTCTTCCTTTTCTTATACACGTTTTCCTCCCTCACTTTCCCCAAAAGATTGCCTTAAAGCTTCAAGCTCAATAGCCTCGTTGTGGAAAATAACTAAGTTTGATGATAAAATGAAGTTCTTCATTTCCCAACGTCTCTGATTGATTTTAAAGCCTCTGAACAAAGACCGATCCATGAAAAACAAAGAATTTCAAATTTCCAAAACTGAGCTTCGTTCCATTTGGAAGGATTTGTATCAGGTATCAAGCGAAACACGGTTACTTGAGGGCCCCATCATGTGCATATTGTATTCTGCTTTGTTTACTCCCAATATTTAATTTATGACTGTCTTTTATTTATATTGAACTAAAGAACTCCATTTCATGGGATGCAAGTTGAGCTGTATTTTCAAAGAAACATAGAACTAACATTCTTTCCAATAACAACCATTTTCTTTTATAATTCCTGAAAATGTATTGTGTTTTCCTGATTATCCATATTTATATTTCATTGATTCTCAGACACCACCTTTTCAATTTGACATCTCTGAAATTATACGGTGTGTTACAATTGTCAGCATCTTAGAGGCAATGTTCAAAATTATGCTTGAATAAATACTACACTAACTCAACTTGACATGCTCGTGGATATAGGGGCATTCCTTTGCTTACAGGTATCGGAGAACCCATCTGTGATAACAGGTGAGGGCAATTTCCAGAACAACCGAATGACGAGCCTACCTGTAGTTATTAGCTCAGATTCTACACATCTTTAGGTTACAAAAGTCTTTCAGGCCCCTGCTCATACTTTATGCTCATGGCTACAATTTCAGCAAACCCTAACTTAATGTAAAAGCATTGGTGGATCTCCCGCTGTTTGGTTAACACATTCTTATTCCCTTTCTTCCTAAGAGACGCTTTTATGTGATCATCTCACTTTTAAACAGAATTAACTGGAAAAAAATATTACATGAAACCATCCTAATGAGATTGTACAGCCCTGGTAGGTCTTAGGTCAGCGGCAGGGGGGAAATTGGATAAAACCAGCCAGTGCTGTGAAAAGCAGCTTTCCTCGAGGGTCCTCCGACTTCTATCATTTCTGTTCTTTCCACTTTTTACTTGGCTCTGTTCAGTTTACCTTCCAGCTCACTGTGATGACTGTTGTAAACTGCATATTTAAATTATTTGAATTTTATGAGACAATTGTTCGGCTATCTGGGCAGCTGTTAATGTAATACCTGAAAATAGAAACACTACTCTTGCATCTACCTGGAATATTTTTCTGAATAAAATTTATCTTGGTAAGCTAACTCTATTAATCAGGTTTCTAGCCTCTACGATCTACTTCAGTTAAAACTGTGGAACACAATAATGTAAAAAAAAAAAAAAAAAACCACTGCTCTCATCAAGGATCGAAAATGTGTGGTGATTTGTACAAAGAACTTTGACCCACTTTACCTTGTGCACACGGAAATGTGATTTTGATAAAAATTCTACAAAATGACAAGGATGGTCTATGGTACATAGATTTTATTAAGAATGTCTTGAGTATAAAATATTTTAATTCTAAATTATGATAAAATATAAATTTGCACACATTAATATAGAAATTCATTTTGTGTATGTTTAACATAGCTTGAAAACGATTTTACATCTACTAGCTACTTCGTTACGGTTTTTTAAAGCTCTGCAAAAAAACCTTAGAAACGTTTTTAAATTACCGGTAACATAATCTTATTTTGTTTCGCTTCACATGGAGTGCATTTGTAAAAAGAAATTTAATAGAAGATATATTTTTAAATTAAAATATTTGGATATAAAATAGGTCTAAGAAAGAAGCAAATTCTCATGAACGTGTTTCTATTATTTCTGGCTTTTAAATAGACACAAAGTTAAATTGCCTTAAACAAGACAGGAGATTGGAGAATATGATAATTTCACATACTCGACTATGAACCTGTTCATATAATTCTGGTTGACTACTAACTTCTGTTTTATGTATTTATTAAAGAGCTGACACTGTAGTTTACTGTGAGATGTTTATTTTTCTAACAGAGCCTGTAACAGTAAGGACAAGGCATTTAATTAATGCATCATTCTGTCTAAAAGTAGGTGTTAATCAATATGAAATTTTCTGTTTTAAAATAAAAATGTAAAAGTTTAAGAATACCCAGAATGCCTCTTTACTTACCATGTGCTACATGACCCTCAAAACTTCCAGACAACAGTACGATGTCATGCGAGGAAATGTAACAAGATTCACACATTATCACTGGCAGAAGACATCACATGATTCCAAAAAGCTGCTACTTCTCAAAATTCCAGAGCGGATGATGAAAGGGCGAGGTCATCCTAATTGCCCTTTTTCTTTTTGATAGCTGGTTGCAATAGAAACAGAGGGAATGGCCTAATGACAAAAAGAAAAAAACCCTGAAAAAATAGCTAAAAGTTAAAACAGGTATTTTCTACAATCACCTTGCTCCAAGTATAACGTCTTCCTAAACCTCAATTGCATGTTCTCAAGAGTCATATTCAGCAAACGGAAATGTATTAAATACCCATCTATTGGGATTTTCCTTTTCTTATCCGAGGGGAGAGGTAGGAGATACATTCAAAATTAAACAAAGCATACGGACAGATTCTCTGTCCTGAGGAGCTTTTAACAGTCTGAATTAAACGTGTGTGTAACTCCCCT